TCAAGACGTTTAGCCGGCATTGTCAGTGAGTCTCGCCATTCGTAGCACCATATTACAACTCGTCAAAGCGACAAGTGAAGCCCAATCTTTGACCAAACGTGTGCTAAACAGTTATGGTAAAATGGATTTCTTATTAAATGAAACATTATTGTCTTGTTTTAAATTAATTTACCAACCAGTCTCTTCCTCAGCCATTGGAGACGACTATTTTTGTTCCTCCGAAGAATAATCCTCTTCTCTTCGGCCGTCCATCAGAATTCAAAGATAGTAAATTGGCACAATCAAACAGAAAGATTGATTCAGACGGAAAAAAATATTCAGAAGACTCCCTTTGCGGCCTCGCTCGCTCTTCTTCTCCTACCTCTTCATCTTCCACGACTTCGTCCTCCAACTCTGCCATACAAACTCATGTATACCCTCACAACAAAGCTTTCATTTGTCAAAAAGAAATTGCACATTCTCATGACCCTTCTACGTTAGAATTCGACTCGCCAGAAACTCGGAATCCTCGTCAGATCCAGTTGGGAAAATACGTAGTAACTACATGGTATTCTGCTCCTTATCCATCTGAATATGCCAGGTACATAATTCATGTTTCCTTAGTTTTATGCTCATTAATTTGGAAAATAGCATTCATTTTTCTTGTCGTTTCAGGTTACAGCGCCTCTATATATGTGAATATTGCCTTAAATATATCAAGTCCCGGAAGGTTTATCTTCGGCACATGGTAAATTTTACATTACAAATTCAATTGATACTTAGTTATTCTTTAATTAACTTATATTTCTTTCGAAGGTATGAAGACCAAGGTGGTGTTGCCTTTTGTGTGGTTGCTGTCTCCTTTCGTTGTATAGAAAATGTTTAACTTTGTTCTCGCAAATTGGCAACATTGATAGAAAGACCTATAAGAACGCACCTAGTCTGGTGTACATAATATGCATGACAATTTCCAGAGTTGGACCGTGGACTTGGTACATTCCCAAACGTTTCGCCGGCATCGTCAGCGAGTCTTGCCATTCTCAGCACCACACCACAACTCGTTAAAGAGGCAAGTGAAGCCGATTCGTTGACCACTTGTCTGCTAAACAATCGCGGTATTTCTCCTTCCGCCCTGGGCTAATCACTAATCCTATATCCTCGTATCACGTCTTCACTATCAGACTTTTTACTTGCTTATTTAAATGTGGTATGGTGTGTCCTTTTTAGCGGCTTTCATGAGAACCCTCCACGCCCCAAGCTGGCATTCTCACCCCCATTCACCTCTGTGCTTGGAATGTTGATCAGTTTGCCCTAGTTTTACGCATTCCTCCTTCCAAAAGTCTTATCAGAGTCTCCCTCCTACCTCGTAGGATCCGTTCGCTTTTCCCCTGGTTCTATTATTTCACTCGGCTCTTGGTATCCTATCTGTGCTGCTCGAGGCGTTATTTCCCACACTGCCTCTAGAAGACTAACTTGAGATTAAAGCTCCTGGGTAATTCTCATAGTCAAGCCCTTGTTTAGTACTTTCTTCCTATCCTCGTGCTGATCAGTAGATGTTGTCACCACGCAAGCGACTTCAACTGGACGTACTGGCTTTAACTTAGTCTGTCTTATAATCCCAAGCCTACGCAATTTATCAGCATGCCGTTTTATTATTAAGTCAGAAATTCTACGTGATTTCCTGTCGGTCATGCTCTGAAGTTTTTGAAAATCTTCCGGAGACAGGATCCTAGCCAAATCACGCCGGAGCTTTGACTTAATACCCATAAACTTAAACAACTTATAACGTTCAGTATCATAGGTCTCACTTAGTTTCTGAATATAAGCCTTGTAGATATACTCATTAACCTTATCCGTATGATAGGGTCTAGTAAGGTCACAGAACTTTGATGTTTAGCAGCGGAAAATTGACAAGAGGGTGGGAAAATGGGGAGTGAAGAATGTAAGCAGGGAGCCCTGTAAGCGGCAGCTGGAGATGATTACGCATCACTAAATCCAATTGCAGCGACATTGGAGGAAACGAGCTCACAGAATTGTGCGAATAAGTGGATGGGCGAAATGAAGTGGGGTTGAGAGAAAAAGATGCGGCACTAGAAGATAGAACAAAAAATAGGGGCAAGGAAGGATGCCACAACGGTTGGTCAAGATGAATGCTTTTTACTTGTCACTTTGATAAGTTGCAATTCTATGCTTATAATGAGGCCTCTCACTGACGATGCCGGCGAAACGTTTGGAAATGTATCCAGCCAATGGTCCAGTGCTGGAAATCACGAACACTATAGCAGAGGACTTGGTGCGTCCCACAAGGTCGAACCAACACAGTAAAAAAGTGTTTAAAGAAACCCTCTCATTTTTTTCTGTTATCCCATCTTTTGTAGAGAAATATGACCCATTATCGATATCCGGCTGCTGCAAGATTGTTTCCTCCTGTGGTCGATCTTATTTTGGTGAGACATGCAGAGCTATTCGACCAAGATTAGGGGAATACAAAAATTCTTGTAAAGGAAGCTGGGACCAACGTTCAGAAATGGCCGAACACATGGCAGATACTTGACATGAGCTTGAATGATCTTAAACTAGTAGGTTCGCTGATTATGACATTTCTGCTCTTGAAAGAAAGATAAGAGAGGCTATTGAAATTAGTAGCTTAGGGAATACGTGGAATGTACGGAACGGTGGTAGAAAGTTGTGTAGGAACTACCTATCTTTGATTGACGTATTGAAGGAGATAGAGGGTATTGAACCGATATCCAGAAGAAAGCGACTTAATTTGTATGCTCAGTGATGATTCTAACTTCACTCACACTCGTCCAACATGTCCCATTAAGCTCATCAACCAAACCAGACATGTTAAATTGCACAGCCCTACTCATGTCTTTCCTTGGGTGGTTAAACGTTAATGACCCTAGACTGGTTTTGTAACTTGACTTACATATTTACAAGATTACATCTCATTATCTCAACCATACTTGCTCACGGACTTACGCAGTCTCGGTCAGGGCTTTCTATTGTGTCTTAATGACCATTGCCGGACCTTAGCCTTTTGATCACTGTTTTATGATCGTTATTACGTATTTGCGTCAATTCATGCACACACACACACTCCAATAAAAGTGGCATGACTAATATGTAAGATAATCAGATAGACAATTCTACATCTCTAGATTTTTTAATCGTAGGTATGAAGACTAAGCCGGTGTGGCCTTTTGTGTGGTCGCAGTCTCCTTTCGTTGCATAGAAGTTGTTTGACCTTGTTTTTGCAACTCTATCATATTGGTAGGAAGACTTAGAGAAACGCACCTAGTCCGGAG